TGTGGATCATAAAGTTTAAATGGGGGGAACAAGTATGAAGCTGGCAGTAGTCTAGTTTGGCCTGGAGGGAGAGCCATGAGAGAGATCAAGCTGGGAAGGTAGAAAGGAATTTTAACTTGATAAATTTTATCAAGGTTCCTTTATCAATGGAGTGACGTATTATGTCACTAGAGCTTTAAAAACATTTTTTGTCTCTCTGAAAAACGCAAATATAGCAGTAATGTGTGAACTATTCTTGTTTTAAAAGAGTCCAACAGTATAGAAACATGTAGAATATTTTGTGCGCATAGATCTTATGTTTAGGAGTTGAATATTAATTTGTAATTAATAGACGGGAGAAAAGCAATTAACTAGAATTCAGTTTATAAGAATGACATCTAGACTTAAATTATAAGAATAATCTGCAGCTGTGTTTTTACTGGCTTGCTTCATTGAAAATGACCTTGATATTCTAAGATAGGGGTACTACTTACTGTACTGAATCCCCTTAAATTGGTTAAGGCTAGGTGGTAAATTTGTGAGGATTCAATCATATGCTTTTGTCTAGTTACTAAAGCACCATCAGTAGTTATGTTTTAGGTCTTCTTTCTTGGGCCTCAAAATAGTGACTAATCGAGTGGTGTGGATTTACTCAAGTAGTCTTTTTAATTATTTTTTTATTTTTAAATTTTTTTATTTTTTGGAAGCTGGGGATCCAAACCCTTGACCTTGGTGTTATCAGCACCATGCTCTAACCAAGTGAGCTAACTGGCTAGCCCCAAATAGTCTTTTTTAATATTTGCTACTGTTAGCTGTAATCAGAAGATATTTAAAATTCAATAAATGTTTACAGAGATGAACACCTGTGTTTAAAGGAACACAAGGGATTAAAAAATTATTATGGCATTTTAGGGTAAAATTCAAAGACCTTATCATGGTCTCTGAGGCTCGACATTATCTGGCCTCTGTTTACTTCCCCAACATCATCTCCTACCTGCTCTACCTCTTCATTATTCTTCAGCAACACTGGCTTCGTTTTTGTTCCTCGAACAAGCCAGACTTATTCTTGTCTCAGAATGTTATTACTTGCTCTTTCCTCTGTCTGGAATATTCGCCCTACAGATCTTCACATTTCAGGTCAACATTACCTTCTCAGAGAGGTCTTTTCTGACCACTCTAGCTAGAAACTCGCTCTTCCTTTGGTTGCTTTCTGGTTACTTTATACTGTTTTTTTCTTCAGTTTCTTACTATCTGAAATTAGCCTGTTTATTTGTTTCTGTTTATTTTTTATCCATCAGAGTGTAAATTCCATAAGGGTAAGGATATTGTATAGTGAGATTGTTCTATAAGATTCAAACAGTAGCAAAGAAGTTGGAAACCTCCTGCAATGCTAGTGGAAATGTAGAATGGTGCAGTCACTTTGGAAAAAGTTTGGCAGTTCCTCAAAATGTTAAACATAGGGTATGACCCATCATTTCCAGGCCTAGGTATGTACCTGGGGGAAAAGAAAACATGCCTATGCCAAAACTTGTACACAAAATGTTTATAGCAGCATTATTCATAAGCAGAAACTGGAAACAACCCAAATGTCCATCACCTGATGAGTGAATAAGTAAAATGTGGTGTATCTATACAATGGAATATTATTTGGCAGTAAAAAGGAATGAAGTACTGATACATAGTATACCATGAAAGAATCTAAAGAACATTATGATAAGAGAAAGAAGCCAGGCATAAAAGACCACATTTTGTACAATTCTGTTTATATAAAATATCCAAAATAGGCAAATCTATAGAGAAAGAATAGATTAGTGGTTACCTTGGATTAGAGGGAGTAAGGGGAAATGGGGAGGGGGCAGGGTGACTGCCTATGTAGTTACATTTAAGGTGATTAAAATGTCCTAAAATTAGATTATGGTGATGGTTGTACAACTCTGTAAATATAAAAAACATTGAGTTGTACACTTTGAATGTACAATGATATGTAAGTTATATCTCAAAAAAACTGTTAAAAAGGATTGAAGCAATAAAAAGCATATGAAATATTTTACCTGTACATTTTACATTTATTGTTTGGATATTACATATTTAAAAATAATCATGGAATTATTGTATGGTGAAACTCCCTTCCAGTTTCAGGAATGTAGCAAGTTCTTAGTAAAAACTGATGAAGGAGGTTAAATAAATGTGCATATAATTATGATACAATGCAT